TCCCAGACTTACTTGTTTTAGAGTACCAAATAACCAAAATGCATTCTTTCATAGAGCTAGTCACATTTTAACATCTAATGATAAGAGGCAGGTTTGTATTGTTTTTATTTTGGCTTCAATGAAGTTTCATAAGCAATTTAAAATTTTGAATTTTTTTCATATTGTATCATAAAAATGTGAAACTTTTGACTAAACACAAATAAACTAAATAAAAGGGGAAAAACAGGGGTTTTGGAAGGGAAAATATGCAGGTTTACTATTAAGATGTATATAACATCATCAAGGATTTCCAGGAGATAAAAGCCATTTGGGAAATTCGTTAAACATTCATCATCAGCAGCTCATTACTTGGACTGAAAATAAACACATCTGTCTTGGCCTCGCTAAGAGTTATCTATCCAAGCAGCTAAACAGATACTCAGCAACTCCACAAAAGCAGATTCTTTGTTGTGAATTTACTGAATCTTTACTTTGTGAAACTGAAATACAAACATATACAAAATATACGTCAAGAATTGTACATGAATACACATGAATTACAATTTAGCTGAACTCCACTATACATTTGTTATGGCATTTTTAACACCAACATATGAATTACCATGAAAGCTACTAGAAATGTGTCAGATTCTAAAACAAAATACTTAGAGACGTTGCTTGAACAAGCATGGAAACAAACTGTAACCCATTAAGAGTGGAAGATGAAGGCAGCTGTCTCTGCTGCAGACAGGCTCAAACTGACTCCTGTAACACATCCTCTAACAACTTCCTGTCTAGCTGGATGTCAAAATAAAGGCCTCTCAAAATCGATTTTTACAACAAGAGTCAGAATAACAAGTAGTTACATTAGTCTTACTAAAAATGTAACCCAATCAAAGTAGCATAAAAGAAAAAAATATAAAACTACAAACATAACACTCCCCGCCTGGGGTCATAAGAACCCACACTTAATTATCTACATTGCTGGTGCTTTCATCAGACAGAAGCAGGACTACTTCTGTGACAGGATGAGAGAAAGTCTTTTTTTCTCCATCCTTTGTAGTAGTCATCTCGATCTTCCGGACTAGTCCATCTTGCCCTGGGAAAGTCTTTGTGATGATAGCGATGGGCCACTCATTTCTCTTGGATTGAGAATCTTTGAGTAGAACTACGTCTCCACATTTTAAGCTGGCCTTCTTATCCTGCCACTTTTGTCTGAGCTGCAACGTGTGAAGGTACTCGCGCCTCCACTTGCCCCAGAAGATATCAGCCAGATTTTGGACCCTCTTCCATTCTTCCTTGTACCTGGCCCCACCCTCAAAGTTGCCAGGAGGAGGAGGCGCCGACCCCGTCTTCAAGGTCAGGAGCATGGATGGAGTGAGGATCAAAGTTGACTCTGGGTCTGATGATACTGGGATGAGTGGCCGAGCATTCATCACTGCGGCTACCTCGGCCATAAGGGTAGTCAAGACCTCATGTGTCAACCGTGTTCTTTGCTCTTTTAGCACACAGTCAAGGATGCGCCTGGCAATCCCAATCATCCGCTCCCAGGCTCCGCCCATATGGGATGAATGGGGTGGATTGAACACCCAGGTGCAGTTCTGGTCACTGAGGTATCTCTCTATGCTATCTGAGCATGAAGTAGTGCTGGACATTTGCAGTTCTCGTGAAGCACCTACAAAGTTCGTCCCGCAGTCAGAACGAATTTGCCGAGCAGGACCTCGGATGGCGAAGAGACGTCTCAAAGCGTTGATGAAACTACTGGCAGTCATCGTCTCTATCAACTCGATGTGCACTGCTCGCGTACACATGCATGAAAACATCACTGCCCATCTCTTGGAATTGGCATGTCCTCCTCTAGTTCGGCGTGAAGTAACCTCCCAAGGCCCGAATACGTCAACACCGACGTATGTGAAGGGGGGCGCTACCTGTAGCCGCTCCGCTGGTAAGTCTCCCATCTGTTGGTGTTCTGTTTTTCCCCGCAGCTTCTTGCATGTCACACACTTGAACAGAAGACTGGTAATGCTTCGTTTAGCACCAACTATCCAGAAGCCTGCTGACCTGATGGCACCTTCTGTAAAGTGTCTGCCCTGGTGTTTCACCGCTTCATGGTAGTGGCGTATGAGAAGCACTGACAGGTGATGACGGCCGGGGACAATGATGGGATTGATGTCATCCAACTCTAGGCCTGAGTGCTTTATACGACCTCCAACTCTCAACAGGACATCGGAGTCAAGAATAGGATTAAGTTTATACAGGCTGCTTGAAGAGGCAATGTTTAAGCCCTCTTGAATGCATTTGATCTCTTCTTCATAGCACTCTTTCTGAACACTCTTCAATATGCACACTTTGGCTCGTGCCATCTCTTCCACTGAGGGTTCGCAGATGTGCCAACCTCTGCAGCTGCTAGTTGAAGTAGAGTGAGAAAAGGTGCGAGCAATGTGGATCAAGTGCGCTATGGTTCTGATTAGAGTGCTTAACTTGGAGAAGCGCTCAAAACGTTTGGGCTGAACAATATCTTCAGGGATGTACACAATGTTTGCTGTCACCTGGGGACGTATTTCAGAGTCTGCCGCAGGATCGACAAGGCCGTATGTCTCTTTAGACTCAGAGAAGTACAGAGATGGCTTGGTGAGAAAGGCTGGTCCTTTAAGCCATGTCGTGCTGCTGAGAAGAGCCGCTGGCACAAAGCGAGAGCCGCAGTCAGCTGGATTCAAGTCCGAAGGTATGTATCTCCACTGTCCAGAGCATGGTGAGTGCTGTATGCGTTGGACTCTGTTGTGCACATAGACATAGAACCTCCGTGTTTGGTTGTGGAGGTACCCTAACACTACCTTGCTGTCAGTGTAGTATACTATGTTGTCGAACGCTTCATCCATCTCTGAAGTTATCATTTCTGCCAACTCCACGGCAAGCACTGCTGCGCAGAGTTCCAGCCTCGGAATCGTCAAATCAGGTCGAGGCGCCAACTTCGCTTTCCCATACACAAAGCCAGTCTCTACATGCCCCTCTTGAGATGAGACTCTGATGTATGCCACTGCAGCCACAGCTTTCACTGATGCATCAGCAAACACACAAAGCTCCTTTCGCTGAGCCCCTGATGTAGAAATGGGCGTGTAGACACGTTTGATCTGAAGTTCCTCTAGGTCTTGCAAAGAGTCTCTCCATTTCCTCCACTCGGCTTCCATGCTCTGTGGAAGAGGTGAGTCCCAGTCAAATGCCAGTATGGTGAGCTCTCTCAAGAGCAGTCTACCCTGAATGGTGACTGGGGCCAGGAACCCTAGTGGGTCATAGACACTGTTCACAGTCGACAGCACCCCCCTTCGTGTAAAGGGTTTCTGTTCAGAAGTGATTCGGAAAGTGAACGTGTCCATCATGATGTTCCAGGATAATCCCAGACTGCGTTGAATAGGCAGGTCATCTGCAAAGAGATCCAAATCTTCCATATTTTGAGCAAGATCATTAGGCGGAAAGGCTTTGAGGACTGCAGGCCGATTGGAAGTGAGCTTGTGTAACCTGATGTTAGAAGCTGCAAGCATTTGTTGAGTTTGCTTTACAACACAGATGGCTTCTTCTTCAGTGCTGAATGATTTCAGCCCATCATCCACGTAAAACTCACGTTCAACAAATTTTCGCACTGCAGGACCAAACTCTGCTTCCCCTTCTTCAGCAGCCCTTCGTAAGCCGTATATGGCGACGGCGGGTGAGGGACTGTTTCCGAAGGTGTGGACTCTCATCCGATATTCAATGACTTCATTTGCCATGTCATTGTTCTGGTACCACAGAAAGCGAAGGAAGTCTCTGTGGTCTTCCTTCACCACAAAACAATAAAACATATGCTCAATGTCAGCTGTGACAGCCACTGCTTCTTTCCTGAACCTCATGAGGACGCCCACCAAGCTGTTATTGAGGTCGGGGCCTGTAATGAGGACGTCGTTGAGTGACACTCCGTCATAGGCTGCACTGCAATCGAAGACGATGCGGATCTTGTCCGGCTTTTTCGGATGGTAGACTCCGAATAGAGGTAGGTACCAGCACTCTTTGTTTCTTTGGAGTGGTGGTGCAATCTCTGCATGTTGTCGCTTGAGCATATTCTCCATGAAATCCAAGAAGTGCGTCTTCATAGCAGGCTTCTTGTCCAATGACCGTCGTAGGGACATGAGCCGGTCATAGGCGAGCTGTCTGTTGTTGGGTAGCCGCCTTCTTGGTGACTGGAAAGGTAGAGGACCAACCCAGTTGTTGGCTTCATCTTGATGGAACTCCTCACCCATGATTCGCAGGAACTTGATGTCTTCAACTGAGGGTCCGAGTTTGTGGTCGTCTGAGGTGCAATTGAAGATTCCTTGACCCAGACTCTCACTATTGAGAGGTGTCATCGCACTGTGCACTCGGCTAAGCATTGGCTGATGACGACTATTGGGCTTCTCTGTAAAGGTTTCTTTCACCTTCATCTGACCACTGCAAGGCTGAAGACAGCTTGTACGACCATTTTCCAACACTGTGGTCTTGAAGCTCTTTACATCAAGAGGTCTGTGGGTGGATCCAAGGCAAACGTTTCCAACAATTACCCACCCCAAATCCAGCTTCTGTGCAAATGGGGAGTTGCCCACACCATTGATCTGGTCCCTGACTTTGTGCACCCTAAGGATGTCTCGGCCTAACAACAGGAGGATGTCGGCATTGGAATCCAGAGGTGGGATTTCATCTGCAATAGACTTCAGGTGAGTGTGGTGGCGTGCAGCTTCTGGTGTAGGTATTTCAGAGCGGTTGCTGGGGAGCTGGTCACACTCAAGGAGAGTAGGTAGGGAAAGACTCAGCTTCTTGTCTGCTGACTCTATGATGAACCCAGAAGCCATTCTTCCTGACATCTCCGTTAGCCCTGCACATGTCTTTAATGTGTATGCATGCGAAGATCCCTTGATCTGAAAGATGTCAAAGAACTTGGAGCGAGCAAGAGAGCGATTGCTCTGATCGTCCAAAATGACGTACATTGTCTTGGACTGTTCTTGGCATCCAGCGGGCTACACATTGACTAGGCTGATTTTGGAACATGCCCGTGGGCTTACTCCTTCTCCACACACCTGTGTACACTTTGAAGTTACCTCTTGGCTGTCCGCTTTGTCACCCTCCCCGCCATGGTTTGCTGGGGGAAGAGACGCTTTGGATGACCAAGGGGCAGGACCAGGGTGGAGTGCTGATACATGAGCATCACTCTCACATTCTGTACATTTAATTTCAGCTGTACAATCTCTAGCCAGGTGTTGCGTGGAGGAACAACAACGGAAACAGATGGAGAACTTCTTAAGGAGCTGCTTACGCTCGTCCATTGTCTTCAGTCTGAACCCGCGACACTTTTTGAGCGGATGAGGCTTTTGATGGATCGGGCACTGTTTGCTTGGGTTCACTGCACTGCTCTCGTTCTCACTGGTTGACTCTCCAGTAGAAGAGACTTGCGTCTTGTGGACCGCTACAGGTGTTTTGGCTGACCAGTCTGAATAGCTCTTTTTCACATTTGCAGGTGTAGACGAAGAAGCAAAGAGACTAAAACTGGGGTCTGTGCGTGCTTTAGCCTCTGTGAGAACAAACTTCACAAACACAGAGAACGGTGGAAAGCTGACTAGATGGGTGCGTTTGTATTTTGAGCCATGTGATATCCACTTCTCTTGTATGTTGTGAGGCAATTTCTCCACTATGGGGTGTATGCCTCTGGCAGTGTCTAAGTATGACAGGCCTGGTAGACTGCCATCTAACTTTGCATATTCCAGCTCTGACAGTAGATCTGCTAGGTCACGCAGCTTCCATGGATCGTTGGATGAAACCTTGGGAAACTTTTCCACCTTTGAAAAAAGTGCATGCTCCATAGCTTCAGGTGAGCCATATGTCTCCTCGAGCCGTTCCCAGGCTAATGACAATCCGGCTGGTGGGTGTCGGATGTTAACGGCTTTAATTCGTTTGATTTGCTCAGCTGAGTCCTTGCCTAGATACTTCACAAGAAGATCTAGCTCTTCAGTTGCTGACAGATCTAAGCCAGCTATTGCGCTCTTAAATGATGCCTTCCATGCCCAGTAATTTATGGGCTTATCATCAAAGGGACTGAGCCCTGAGGTTACCATGTGGCTGCGAGCTAAAAATTTAGCAAGATCACTGGTGAGATTGAAAGACTGGTAATCTGTACGGTCAGGCACTCTGAGGCTAGAACGCCGCGGAGCTGGTACAGGTGGAGGACCATTACTTGAATGAGGTAGTGTACTATTAACTCTCGGGGTGCTTAGAAGAGGAGGCGGGCCATAATCAGTAGCTGTGTGATTTATTGGCGCTTGTTGATCTGTAGCAGCATAGCAATTTGACATGCTATCTGCATCTGCACTCCTCATCTGATATGGTGTGGCACCTGTAGTGACACTCCTTTGTTCCAGTACATATTTGGAAACAAGTTGCTTTGTAGCTTCTTCTAGATCTGAACTAGAGGCATTACTCCTTATCTCATAGCCCATTTCCATTAATCCAGCTTCTAATGTTTGCATTTCAGCTCTTGCTGTTTCTAGCTCTTCGTCTGCTCTGAGCGAATCAAGTGCGGCTTGCAGACGTGCTTGCTCCAGTTTAATTTCTGCCTCCCTTTTCATGAATGTTGCTCTAGTTTGAGCTGCTTCAGCTTTCGCTTTAGCTTGCAAAAGCACAATGTTAGATCTGGAGCTAACTGAAGCTTGGACGCTATGAGATGCTAATGATTGTGTCTCAAATTTTGCTGAAGGTCTGCGCTCCATCATTTAAAAAGTGCTTGAAAGACAGTTCAGTAGATGTAAGCCACTTGTGAGTTTGTTTGCCACTTAGCTTTGAAACAGCGCTGCTCCGTGCTTGCTGTGATGCCGTCTTTTCACTGTCTTGGCCTCGCTAAGAGTTAGCTATCCAAGCAGCTAAACAGATACTCAGCAACTCCACAAAAGCAGATTCTTTGTTGTGAATTTACTGAATCTTTACTTTGTGAAACTGAAATACAAACATATACAAAATATACGTCAAGAATTGTACATGAATACACATGAATTACAATTTAGCTGAACTCCACTATACATTTGTTATGGCATTTTTAACACCAACATATGAATTACTATGAAAGCTACTAGAAATGTGTCAGATTCTAAAACAAAATACTTACAGACGTTGCTTGAACAAGCATGGAAACAAACTGTAACCCATTAAGAGTGGAAGATGAAGGCAGCTGTCTCTGCTGCAGACAGGCTCAAACTGACTCCTGTAACACATCCTCTAACAACTTCCTGTCTAGCTGGATGTCAAAATAAAGGCCTCTCAAAATCGATTTTTATAACAAGAGTCAGAATAACAAGTAGTTACATTAGTCTTACTAAAAATGTAACCCAATCAAAGTAGCATAAAAGAAAAAAATATAAAACTACAAACATAACAACATCAATGAGGATATGGTGAGTTGTTAATGCAACGAAAGTAGCGTGTTATCTAAGAAAGGATCGGATCTGTTCCAATATGGTCTGGAAGCTCTACAAGTGTCAAAGGGCCCCTGACCGAGAACAAAATGTTTGAAAATAAAATGAAAAGACAACATGAATTACATTCAAACATTGTCTATGTAGATTTTGGACAGAGAGGAAAGATGGTTTGGAAGAGGTGTCAAGAAATCTAGCTTTGTGAAAAGAGAAAAACACATAACTGAACGGGGGTGCTGTTTCCACTTCCAAGCATCAAAGTTCAGTTATGGAACTCTATATAAGCACTCTCATCATGATTCGAAAGGCCAATCACAGCCCATGCACAACTAAAGAATCCAACAATCCAGATGAGCAAAGGGTGGCTATTTGAGTTACATCGAATGTGCTTATAAGAAGAACCTCAGACTGGTGCTGTATTTACTGGTACTTCCAACCTGAAGTAAATTAAACCAGAAGAAAACAACCAAGTCTCTTTGTTTCTTGTTAAATATATTCGTTAAACAACTTGTTTACCTCATATAGAGCTTGTTTTGTCTTCATTCCTTCAACAATTTTGATTCAAAGGCTTCCTGCTCTGTGGCTTGTTTGCTTGTGACTTTTTGAGTACAGAAACGGCGTACAACTTCATCTTATTTTGTTGATGCCATCCATGACCCTTAATATTGTTGATTACCATATATAATCATGTCTTAAATGACAAGGATTAATATGTTATTGAAGCTGAAACGGAAATATATCAAGAAAAGTATATAAACTATGGATCAAACAGTCCTGATATTATTTCAAAAACAGTTTTAGGTCAGTTTAGGTTCTTTTTACAGTGACTTCTAAGTATTCATTCCTTTTCCTATATAGCAAACGAAGAAAAAGAAAATTTCAAAGGATTTCTTTAGTATTTTATATAATCTACTGCAGGAGACAATTGTGGAGTAAAACAAGCCCTATACAGGGGCACAATGGTGGCACAGTTAAGCAAGGAACCCCTAAAGGCCCTAATGCTTGACCCATCTATAAGATCTGTGAGGCCAAGTTAGGTCCCTTTAGCTTCCACACATACCTGTGCGAGTTTTTCACGCTGTTCACCTTGGAAAATTTGGAGCTATGCTAAGAGTTCAGCGTGGAAAAATATGGCAACAAAACTATGTTGAATAGGGAAGGTGACGTCCGAAGATAATAGGATTTTTTAAGAGATAGGTGTTTCAAAATAGCTCATTGAATATGTTTGCTGTTTCTTTGTGTCGGTCTATCAACTTAAATATCAACAAAATGCATTGCAGTTTTGTTATTTTAAGGACAAAAAAGGTTTAGTAGCTATTAATATTTTCCAGTGTTACTGTAAATGTCACACATGATCACACATGAGGGTCATCTGAATGTCCCCGGGAGGTTTCTACGATTTGTATAAATCCTCTATGCATGGATGTTATGACAGCATTTAAACAGACACATTGTTTATCTTGTTCACCAGAGCCAGCAGGAATAATGTCAGTGTGGAGGAGTTAATTTCTCTTCACCTGGTGCAAGATCTGCAGGTTCCCCTGTTTTTATATCTGTGGTTTTAAATGATGGGCAGGAAGCTACACTTACATGTGAGGTTCAGTAACTGTGTCGTCATTACTATCATAACCCCTGTAAATATGCATTCCCCACCCGTGTCTCACTCAGACTGCCCAGATGAATTATGGATGCTGTCCAAGCCTCTTTGTCGTCCTCTTCCTCTTCTCTTACGCTACCTTTTTTGAAGAATATTCTTTTTTTTCTACAAGTGAAATACAGTGCTTCACTGCCATCAAGTGGTGGCAGGTCGTCTGTCTCTGGACCTTGATATCAGGTAATGAAACTCAATATCTGACTTTCAGGGTCAGATTTATCCGTTATTCTTCAGTTTTGTTGCATTTGTACAAAGAAATGTTAAATACAAGATAGTGATATTAAAGTTATAAATCAGGCTACACCAGACTTTCTTACTATTTCAACCATCGGTTTGCTCTTCTGTGTCTTTAAGCTCTTGCTTTATTGAGTCAAATCATCTTTTCCATTCAATTCGCCTCAGGAAATCTCATGAAAGAAAGCAGTAAACACTGTTGATGGAAAGCTCATCAAATGCAGAAAATCACTTCCTTTATTTAAGCTTAGCTTTAAAAAGCCTTGTGATTTCATCAGGCCTCTCCGGACTTTTAACTAATACTCCCTCTACATTATTGGAATGTGACCCTTCCCTCATAAATGCCATTGTCTTGCTCCCTAGACCACGAGTCTCCAAGCTGTGGCTCTGGTGGTATTGTATTTCATAAAATTGGAGGTTTGAGATGTTTTTCGGTTTTATTACAGAATAATTGCAGTGCATTTCACAACAGAATGACACTTTAAGTACCTGTTACATTATATTCGTCCATCAGATAGAAAGTGTGTCAATATTCTATAGTAAAAAAAAAAGTGTCCATTCTCTTTTTTTGTAAATATTTATTATTTACTTTATTTTAAAATCCTAAAGTAGAATTAAAATGGTGGAGAAATGTTTTCTCCAGTTTCCTTCCAGTTTAATGTGCAAGTTGAAAAGCCTGTCATAGGGAGGCATCCTGATGATCTCAGGTGGAGGAGCAGCGGCTCCATTTAAAGCTCCCCCTTAAACTCACAGCTCATCATGTTACTTCTAAGGCAACATTAGCTCATTTTTGCCCAATACAAGCAGAATATAGTTTTTCACTCATGATCCATATCTCATGACTGTAGGTGAGGATTACAATGTAGATGGACCAGAAGATTGAAAGTCCCTGCTTTAAGTTTATGCTCTGTCTTCCTCACAATTGAACTGAACAGGATGTTTAAAGACTCAAAGGTGGACTGTCTAATGTGTCACTGTGGTTTAGATTTTTTTTTTTGACTCAAAAAATATATTTTTTTAACTCATTAAGCAGAATTATAATATCATTTATATTTTATCACATATTATTTTCAATTAATTGCTTTCTGCCAAAGAAAAGGAAAAGAGTTAAATGTTAAATATCTGAAAATCTTAAATTCTTAGCTGTAAGATTCTGTTTGTATGTGATTTAATAACAAAGAAATAAAAAATCAGTAACAATTTGAGAATTGCTGCATGTCTTTAGACTTCCTACAGTAACTATGTGGAAATTGCTAATTGGGGAGGCATTTAAAATCCTATCCTCTTAGTGTTAAAGACCTGCAGATGGTAGTGTAATACGAGTTGCTTTAAAAAAGCCTCTCAGATATTTGGGGACCCAAACAACCTTTGAGGTTTCCTCAGAGATCTTGATGAATTTTAGCACTTCCTGATTCAAAGTCTTCTCCTTAGCTTGCATCTCTCTCTTGATCATCCATCTCTGCGACTGCTGACAGGACATTAGAATATGATTTCAGGCTACTTCATTTGTTTTTATATTTATTTTTCCCCTCCTGCGCAGCTGTAAACATAAATCACATCGAGCAAAGCCCAGAACTCATATAAACGTCAGAACAGACAACGGAGCTCATAAACCTCTAATTTGATCTTTATTCATCTGGGACAAGGCATGAATATAAGCTCACCTAGTAAATCATCATTTTCTGCTTTCTGTCAACACTGCAGCTCGTTAAAGCTACACCAGCTCTGATTGGCTGCTTCACCTCCCAACCTCGTTTAGTGTAAAAACTCAAACATTACAGACGCTTCTGCCTGATAATCATAATTGATGACTCTCTTGGTGCATTTAAAAAATCATTTATGACTCGATCAATCAAACTTTTCTGAACATATAAAAAAGCTACTAAATAATCTCTGCAGTGCGTATTTTTTCCCTGAACTGTTACATTCACGGCATAAGTGCCGCCTGTTCAAGTTAAAACAACAGGCCATAAAAAGTTGGAAAATAATTGCTTGAAGGAAGCATAGATAAGTTAGTCGCTTGGAAATTATTCTACCGACTGGGATATTCTCTGAGCAGTAGTGATATGTCTGTTGAATGTTAATGTTTGAAAGCATTTCCATAGAGTTTTATGTCGTTAGAAGTCATTTATGCTGGAAAGCTTATTTGCTTATGTAAAATTTCATATCGTCTTTAAACTTATGAAGTTATTTTATGTGACAGCTTCATCCACCTTTTAATAGTTTTACATCTTTGCTTAGATAAAAAGGAGAACCCCTTCTGCGAATGCCGAATATCGTTGCTTGAAGTTGCCAGCAGAATTTAGTCATCCTCTAAGAAAGGATGAAGTCCTGAGGTTTTGTGTATAGGCACCTTACTTGTCTTTAAAATACAATGGAATCCTTTCCAGTTACGTCAGACCACATAAAAGACTTGAATTATTCCTGGAAGAGTTCAAATTGTGCCTGGAACAAGCTTTCCTTTAGATAGAGTAAGAGGTTTTGCTATAGTGATAAAGGTGTCATTATTTCAGAAGCACATTTCACAGAGTACCTTGAGAGCAACAGTTCAAATATCGAGCTATCTTATTTGTAAGTCATGGTAGGATGGATCCGAGGACCTGAATACAAGGCGTTTAACTTCTCTATTGTGGGAACATCAGTTAAACACCTGAATCTCTACTAAGATTGGGAGTTTTGAGGGGCTCAGGGTGGATCCACCGCCCCTCTGCACTGTAAAGAGTGACTTGAAAGAGACATCCTGGGTGTCTTCATTTTGAAACTTTAAGAGCCAAAGAGACAGTGGGAGTTAGTATCTCTGGCCTTTGAACACCTCCTAGTTCTCCAGAAAGAGCAAATGAATGTCACCTACAGTCTGACTGTTTACCCTAAACCTGTAATATCCTTCCTCTGATTGTGAATTCATTAATGTCAGTGATAAAGATCAGTCAAAACATTTTAACTTCCTGCTTCCAGCCTTTC